GAATACAAGAGGTTTTTCTTTTCGAAATCCGAATAGAAAGGGTACAGCTTGTATTCGAATACAACGTGTAGGACCTGCACCGTTTCAATTTCGAAAAAGGACTACCCGCACCGTTTCAATCTCGAAAAAGGACTGCGGCCTCCTCGGCCTCCTACTCGCAGCTACCGGTCCTACGCGTTCCTGGCCCTTGCAAGGCCCCAAAACCTCAAATGCCCACCCTCCCGACGACCACCGACGTTGAAATTGACGTTGAACGTTGAATGTCTCAAGGGGGGAAAGCGCATCCCTGACGGGCTGCGAACTGGTGGTTTAAGCTTGGATTCTAGTTCAGAAAAAAAGTTGGTGCAGATCCTGCCACAGAGTTGGCAGTAGGATTACTTAATGGCCTCCAAGTCCTTGACAGTGTGGTCCTTCTCTTCTTTATAGTCCCGGCGTGTGAAGGATTTCCAGGATTCGTGTGTTCGGGGTCTAAGATCGCCTTCAAATTCTTCAATTGCCCTCTCCGCTTGTGGCAGTCCAAATTGGTGTGCTCTTCTTTCAAAGGAGCACCGATCTCTCGAGGCTAGCATCAGGACTTGCAGTCCCATGTATGAGAAGAGTTTGGAGGAGAAAGGGGGTCCATTGTGCCAGCAGATGCTGGTTTTGGCCGAGCAGTAATAGGCCGAGCCTCTGAGGCCCCAGCGAATGTGTAGCCCTGTTAGCGAGTGGAAGGCCTCGTCCCACCACTGCCACAGCTGGGTGACCATTGGGCAAGCCGGCAAGAAGACTGTGTTCCAATGTTGCCCCGGCTGGCGGTGTTGCCTTACCGCAGTTTAGTTTTCTTTTCGTTTTTTTTTCTTCTTCTCTTTTCTTTTTTCTTGTTCTTGTATGAAGGGCCTTGAAGGCATCAAAGCTTTTTTCTTTTTCTCTTTCCGTAGAAGCTTAAGTTCACAGGACAAGGTCATTAGGCAAAGACTCAGCAAAATGAAGAACTGTACTCCACGGTCTCCACCTATTTATTTTGATTCCTGAAGGTATAATTCCCCCTCCTCCCCTCTTCAGACCCAATTCACGTCCTTTTTATGGGAAAACTCCTCAGTGGAGCTCGGAGAGCAGTGAGCCGAGGGAAAGTAGGACGGAGGAATTCCAATGCCACCCCCCACCCCCCACTCCCAACCCCCTCCACTTCAACACCATCATCGTCTCCTCTGGGCCTTGGGACAGGTCTCTTATAACTAATGAACCCAGTTTTTTTAATTTCACAGGATGGCCTGTTATACTTTCCCACTACCTCAGCCTTATCCTTCACAATATCAATCAATCAATCAATCAATCAGTCCATCAATTGGGCCCAGCGTCCCAGACAAGGAATATTGCTGACATCAAAATAAGGACTGGACACCGGGGCCACTACCCGGCTTCCGCTGAGTGCTAAAGCAAAACTTGGGACTGTGGGACCGCAGATGCTGCTGGGGGCCTGGGGCAGCAGTGGGGCCTCTTCACCCTGCTACTGGGCGCTTGCTCTGGAGCCTGGGCCTCCCTCCCCGATTCTTTCTTTGTCTTGTCGACATTGTTGTTGCTGTTGCTGTTGCTGTTGTTGTTGTTGTTGTTGTTGTTGATGATGATGATGATGATGATGATGATGCTGACGATGACGCTGCTGCTGCTGCTGATGATGATAATAATGATGATGAACTTGCAGTTTTCACCTGGAGGCACCAGTCCGAGGGTCTGGACGTCCTGGAATTGCCCGATCGGGAGGCTTTTGATGCCTGTGTAGTCGATCGAGGGGTGCAGCTGGTATCCAAATCGGAACATAACAAAGGTATAGCATAGACTTTTAAAATTCTTCACATTCGCATCTTGAGCACAGCCATACTCACGCCCAATGGATGTGATTATCTTGAGCTTTAATGCATCTAGCTGCACCCGAGGTCGCCTGCTATCATGATGTTCTACGTTGCGTCCTAATGTGGCATAACGGCGGCGCCTAACGGTTAGTAGTTGGTTACCGTGCGCCGCTCAGTGACGAACCCTTAATTGCACGGCAGACAGAGGCGAAGGCCAAGGAAGCTATTAAGTTATTCCCAGAGGTCAAGGACGTTTTTGACCTCTGGAGAGGCTCCGTCCAGTGTTAGTGCTGCTGATAAGAGCAGGCACCACTAACACCTAGGGAGAGGCTCCGTCCAGGTAAGTGATTCACAGAGACCATGGAAGAGAGGCTAAGGAAGTAACCCGGAAGGAGGATTAAGTCCACATACAAACAGGAAACTCAAAATTGTAAACGTAGCCTAGAGGAGTACACCTCACAGGGTAAATCACATTGCACTTGTGCAGCCTAACCGCTCTCACATCACAGTTGATGATCAGACCTTCTTCCTCTAAACTGCTCAGTCTGAGTAGGAGGACTTGCTCCTTCCAAGTTAATAAGTCCCACATACAAAATTATCTTAGAGGATTACACTTCACAGGGTAAATCACATTGCACTCGTGCATCCTAACCGCTCGCACGTCAGAGTCGATGATCAAACCTTCTTCCTCTACACTGCTCAGTCTGAGTAGGAGCACTTCAAGTTGCTCCTTAGCGCTACGTTGAGTACACCTTCCCTTTCAGGTCAACCCTACCTTTCAGGTCAGATCCGTCAGAATATTTTCTGCGCTCGCGTTGAGTAGTGCTCAAAGATCCCTCGCTATCACACTCTTTTCACCGAAGACACGTTTTCATCCTAACAAGCCTACTCAGGCCCTACTGAAGTGGGTCAGATAGATCCGGATCTTTCCCACTGGTTAGATGGTTCATAATAGTGGCTTATAATCTTGCCTCAAAGAATAATAATAGATCCACCAAAGTGGGTCAGGTATTTCCAGTCCAGTGGATCCCAGGGCCTAGTTCAAAGTATGGTGTCCCTGCCTCGGGGGTCCTAAGTTCTCAATTAAAAAAAAAAAAAAAAACAACTGAGCTATATGTATTCTTCTCTCAATTTCACCTTTCTTTTTTTTTTCCCCGAAATTGCACTTTTATTGACAGGGCCCAGTGCCCAAGGCAAATTACATCATCAAGACGGTCAACAACAAGGACTCAGGGTTGTCCTGCTCCTCCAGGAGCTCAGAGCCCCGTCCCTGCACACACAATCGTCCCACTCAGTAGTCAATCGCGCCACCAGCCCTGCCACAAAACCATACTACCCACTACTCTCATCCACAATCCCAACCCTAATTCACCCTACTCTCAATTTCACCATTCACTATCTACCTACCACCAGCCAGTACAGGGGCCCCCTGCAAGCATAGCTACCTCTCACAATACACTCCGTCTTTGGTCTGTGGTCTTTGCATTGGCCAGCCGCCCCCCTACCGGCGGCCCCACCCTACTCCCTGGCCACACCGATTAGGGCTGGGGGCAACATGCATCCCCTTAAACCACCAGTACTTCCTAAAGTCGCGTAGCGTTAACGCTACGCGATTTTCGGAAACGTACGGGCCAGTACAGGAGCACCCAAATTCATCCAACCAGAAACGTTTCTACTCTATTTTTTTCCGCGGCCCATAGCTGGGCCAAGTACGGGTGGTTTAATTATGAGGGGTCCTAAGTTCCTGTGCCGCCATGCGGCAGGCGGATGCAAAACATAAAATTAAAAAACAAGGGGACAAACCAGGGTAGTCAAGCCCCGGCCCCGGGGCCCCGGCGGGGGTCTGGGGGTCCGGGTGTGAGCACCCCCAGCCCCGGCTCCAGACCCCCCCCAAAAAAAAAAATTCAAAAAAAAAATAAAAAAATAGTGGGGGGTGCGCAGCGAGAGCGCGCACCACATGGGCTAAACCCCAAAAATGGGGTTTTATCCCCCACCCCGGACCCCCCCCGGGGCCACACCCACCACTC